AAAATTTATAAGGAAAAGCAAAGGAACTAGAATACCCAAAACAATTTTGAAAAAGAATAAATTTGGAGAGGTCATACTACCCAATTTTAAGACTTGCTGTAAAGCTACAGTAATCAAGATAGCATGATACTGATGAAGGGATAAGCACGTGGATCAGTGGAGCAGAGTAGAGAGTCCAGACATAGATCCACACAAATATAACCGATTGATTTTTGACAAAGATGCAAACACAATTCAACAGAAAAGAGATAGTTTTCAATAAATATTAATAAAATAATTGGAAATTCGTATGCAAAAAATGAATCTCAATTAAGACCCCACATTGTATACCAAAGAAACAGGTCAAAGTATATCATAGATCTAAATATAAATGTAAAACTATAAAACTTTTAGAGGAAAAGACAGAAATTCTTCATGACTTTGGGTTAGGCAAAGACTTCTCATATATAACAGCAAAAATACAATCCATGGAGAATAATATATTGGACTTTATCAAAATTAATTTTTTTCTCTATGAAAGACACTGGTAAGGGGATAGAAAGACACACAAAAGATCATGAGTAAATATTTGCAAGTCAAATATCTGACTAACAACTTGTGTCCAAAATCTGTAATGAACTCTCAAAACTCAATGTCAGGAAACAACTCAGTAATACATGGTAATACATGGGCAAAACATTTGAACAGATACTGCATCAAAGAAGATATATAGATGCAAATCAACTTAAGAAATGATGTCCTTATATCATTAGCCATTAGGAAATACAAATTAAAACCACAGTGAGATAACAAAGTTTTCAAAATTGACAATAACCTGTTATGTTAAGGATGCAGAGCAACAGGACCTTCACAGATGGCTGTTAGGAAGTCAAAATGGCACAGCCTTCTGGAAAACAGTTTGGCTCTTTCTTTAAACATGCATGTATCATATGACCCAGAAATTCCATTCCTGGATATTTGCCCTAAAGAAATGAAACTTTTATTCACACAAAAACTGTACACAGATATTAATAGCAGCTCTATTCATGATTACGAAGTCAACTTAAATATTCACAAGTGAGTGGCTAAAGAAACCACGATATCTCTACATCATAGAATACACTACAAAATAAAGATTGATAACATACAGCAACATGGATGAATCTCAAAGGCATTATACTAAGTAAAGAAAGTCAGCTTCAAAAGATGACATCTTGTATGATTCTATTGATATGGCGTTCAGGAAAAGGCAAAACTCTAGGGGTGGAGAACAGATCAGCGGTGGCCAGTGGATGGACTGGGGGAGGGTTTGACTGAAACAGAGAGAGTTCCGAGGGGTGATCAGACCACTCTGTGTACTGATGGCAGCGGTGATTGCACAAATCTGTACATGTGTTAAAATTCACAGAGCCATTCTCAAAAAGTAAAAGTACTGAATGTAATTGATTTTTTTAAATTAAAACACAACAACAGCAGAAGCAAATAGTTACTCCTAACACCTTCAGCCACGGTAGTTCAAGATCACATGTTTGAGTCATACTTGTGATATAGTCAGGCCGCACTACTTATGGCATTCATAGCCCCTTGGGAAAACAATATATGTATGTATATATAATTTACCCATTCTGTCATATTGGAAGCACAGTTTTAGTATTTTAAATGTTAAGATCTTATAGTTTAATTTTGCCTTTATAAGATTCTGTAATAATATACAAAACTTATTTTATCCTTAGTACATGCAGTGACTCAGCTCTAACTGCAATATTGTTTTAATGAGCAACTACCAGTACTGTCTGCTTCACAGTGAGCCTCTTTATGATCCCTACCGGGAGTGTTCTGTGAACAAAAGGCACACATGTGCAGACAGGCAGTACGTGTGTCATTGTACCAATTTGTTGGCTATTAAAGAATTATAAATTTATTGTAAATTATTGGATGATAAAGAAACTAGTCCTCAAGATCAGTTTTAATAACAGTAATCTTGTAGGAATGGGCCATGATTTCTCATCCATTACAGGCAGTGCAGTAGCATGGAAGAAATCTTGTACGAGGAATTTAGGTTTTCCCTCTATCGTTCATTAGAAGCGATCGTTTGACTTCTCTAGGCTTCATTCTCTAGTTCATCATTAAAACACAACTGTTCTCACTTTAACATTCTATGTTCTGAGATGACCTATCAGCCTGTGTTTAATCATGTAATATGTCCTATTGCAGATGGATTTTTGTTCTTTCCACCTTCTTGTTGAATTATTTAGTGACCTCATATCTTTCTAGCCTTTCTGGAAAGACTGACCTAAGATGAAAAAAATCATTTCTTTTGATCAGGGCTGTTCATTATGCATTCATTTATCATTTACTTAGCAGCACTGGTCTAGGTACTGAAAAAGCAGAGATGAAATGATTGTGTTCAGAGTGATAGTCTCCTGGAAGCAAAGAACCATTCTAATACAGCACGAAAGGCATTAGGACACCATGTGTTCTGGAGGCAGTGGGGGCCAGAAAATGACTACCGGGTGAGATGGTGAAGGTCAGTTTTGAAGTATGAGTAGACACTGACAGGAAAAAAGAGATGCTGAGATGACAGAGCACAGCTGAGTATAGGGCACTGAGGAAGCTGCATGAGGTGTGCATGGGAGAAACAAGGAAGCCGCACAGTGAACAGCCTTGTGCGTGCCACGGCCCGTGGCTGGGGCTTTTATCTTGAAGGCATGAGGAGCCCAATAGATGAGTCTGCTGAGGAACAGGGACGTGATCAGAAGGGGGAGGTTAGGTTGTGTGTCTGTGTGGTGGGAAGGGAAAGGGAAATATTGATCCTGGAGAGCAGCTTGAGAACCATTACAGTAACCTAGGCGGGGATGATGAGCGACAGTGGGGAGTGAGAAGGGAATTCAGACTCAAAGGGTGTTACGGAGATTCAACTCCAAGAACTTGGAGAAGAACCTGATGTCATGGGTACTTGATTAGAGGACACTTGGCTTCTTAACATACTGCCTTTTAAGGTAATTGCAAGCCACTCTTTGGTGTGTAAGTAATGGGCAAATGTTGCTTTCGGCACTCGCGGCACCCCTCAGAGGGCAGCATCTGGGTAATGATTTTATTATTATTTTAGAGAGGGAGAAAGAGAAGCATCAGGAGGTGACAGAATTTTGTGAGCACTACACATTATGTTTTAGGAAGAGTAATCTGACAGTATCGTGGTTTGGAAATGAGACCAGTTAGAGAACCATCCTGAGACTAGAGGTGGTAAGAAGATGAGACAGAATGGTGGCAACTGCTTCAAATTGAGTTCTGTGCCACCAGAGGTCATTAACGCCTGGAGGAAGGGATGAGCTACTCACATCTGTGGGGGGAGTGACATCTTCACTCACATCTGTAGAAGGGATTCCAGGGTCATAAGTAATGCAAGTCGCCCTGGTGTTGTAGGAATCCAAGCGTTTACATATGTTTTGTAATTGTCTGGCTAAAATTCTGTATCCAGTGTAGGTGACCAGGTTGTAGCTCAAGAAGGTTAAATTCCTTTAATAGAAATGTCTGTCTATATAACCCATGTTAGGTGAAACACAGTGACAAATCCTTTTTCTCTGGATCTTTCCTTTTCTGTCCCACCACCACCTTCCCATATGACACTGAAATGGTGACTTCCAGAAAGACTGTAGTCTGGAATTAAATTTGGGAGATGCTCAGCTCTGATCAGTAGCACAGTTAGAAACTAGGTCTCAGGAAGGGCTATGACTGAATATGTATGTACTCTTTTATAATATGTAGATTTTTCCTGGTTTTGAGTGGACTTTTATTTTTAATGTATTTATTTATCTTGGCTTATAAACAACAGAGATTCATTTCTCAGGAGGCTGGAAAGTCCAACATCAAGGTACAGATTCAGTGTCTACTGAGGGCTGGTTTCCTCGTTCGTAGATGGCTGTCTTCTCTCTTATAACCTCATGTAACAGAAGCGGTGACTTTTCAGATGTGGCTCCCAAACTGGAGAGAAGTTCCTTCCCGTGGCCTCCTGGCTGTGTGGTGTGGTGGACAGCTGGGCGGGCACTGCCATCCAGTGGGGTGACCTCAGGGAGTCACCCAGGCTTTTAAAGCTTTTGTCCCCTTCTGTCTACAATGAGAGAATGAATGGTAGCTATCCGTTAGAGCACTGTGAAGATAAAATCAACTAGTTCATGTTTGGTGCTTAGTATTATTCCTACTGAATAATATTTAGTCATCTGTACATTTAATTAATATTAAATACAAGCATGTGCTATTCCCACCTATTAAAAATAGTCAGTCATTTTACATCTAACTTTAACCCCAATGTTCATAGCAGCACTCTCCACAATAGCTAAAACATAGAAAGAGCCTAAGTGTCCATCCACAGATGAATGGATAAGGAAGATGTCGTTTATCTATACCATGGAATACTACATGGCAGTGAGAAAGAATGAAATCTGGCCTGTGTAGCAACATGGATGGACCTTGAGGGTGTTATGCTGAGCGAAATAGGCAGAGAAGGACAAATATCATATGTTTGCACGTATAGGAGGATTAGGAGGAACTTGACGGAGGAACAAGGGGGAGAAGAAGGGGGGAAATGGTGGGGGAGAGGGAGAGAGGCAAACCATGAGAGACTCTTGAATGCTGACAAAAACTGAGGACTCATGGGTGTGGGGGGAAGGGAGGAGATGGGCATGGAGGAGGGCACTTGTGGGGATGAGCCCCGGGTGTTATATGGAAATCAACCTGACAATAAACTATCTGTAAAAAAACTAATAATAAAAAAATTTTAAGAAAACCAAACTTTAATTCCAATCACCATATGATTATACTTAAAAACGAAGTATAAATACAACTTCTTGGACTAATAATTCTTCCCTAATCAGGGACATGAGGCCAGGTATAGTCTTTATTTTTTCATGGGGTGAGTTATTGGGAAGTGGGAATAAGAGGAAAAAAAATTCTAGCATTGTACTACTCAGACTGTGAATCTAAGAATTAATTGCTTTCTCACAGAAACATGTTCTTATTTTCAGGTATATTAAGGAAACAAACATCAAAAATGATCCAAATGAACTTAACAGTCTCATCAGGAAAAACTCCGATGTGGTCACGTGGACCCCACGGCCCGGAGCCACTCTTGATCTGAGTCGGATGCTAACGGACCCGACGGACAGGTTTGGTTTCAGTCTTCATAGAGACTAAAGATGGTTTACAAATTTTTTTCAACTTTATGAAAATATCAAGGGCACACCCATGGCCTTTTTGGCAGGTCCTTATTTGTACGAGTATTAAGTCTTTGCTGACTGGCATGCTGAGTTTCTTATGCAATCAGTTCCACATGTCACCTTTAAAAATGGAAGTCTTACTGTTTAAATAAACTGTTAAATAAGTACCTTTCAGATCTAAGGGGAAGGACTGAGTGTTCTCCTACGTTTCTCATGCAACGTAACAAATACCCAAATGTTTTCATAGTCTCAGAACCTTATTTGAGGATGATGGTCAAGGTGTTTTTTCCTATCATGGACCATGGATAGGCTCAAAAAGAAGTTGCCTTAAAGAAGTAAAAAGCAATAAACATGAGAGTTGGCTTTCATATCAGCATAAACGTTACGCCACCGCCTGTCCCACAGAGAGCACATCTGAACAAGGTTCAGCGCATCGGGAGTGCAGTTTGAGAAAAGTTAACATCGATGTCGCAGACCTGTGTTTTTATAAACACTAGTCTTGAGCCAAATGAAACTGTAAGTTCCTCACCCTAATTTAGAAACTGACTGGGTGGGTCAGAGAGCGAAGCACACAGTTAACCAAAAGGGCACACCTGCTCCCAGCCTCACCCCTGCAAAGTCAGGGCTTAGTAATTCTGACCTTTTGCTGACTTACTGTGTGAAACCAGTTGCTGAAGCAGGTCCATTCCATTCCATTCGCCTCCGCAAACCCCCCATCAATCCATCGCTTGCCTCCAGCCTTTTCTGCCACGGCCTTAATTCAGCTTCTCACAGTCTTTAGCCTAGATTTCCACGGTGGCCCTGACTTGTCTGCGCCTGCATCCCTGTTCTCCCTTGATCCGTCCTCTATGCCAGCCGGTCCCAATCTGCTGGTCAAAATCCGTGGTGGATTTTGGTGCATCATAAAATCAACGACATTGATTCCGACCTGCATTTCTAAAAAATGAAATCAAACAGAATAGGGTATACCTGAGTACATTGCCGGAATAAAGGGAGAGTATTATTCCAGGAAACTCTGGTTCCAGAGGTACCCTTGGTGGACCCCCAGGGAGGGTCCTGATATAAAATGTTAATTCTTACAGGGATCGTAGGGAAAAGGTTTGCAAGCCCCCACTCCACATCGCTGCCAGAGTAACCTTTTTAAAATGCAAAACTGTTCTGGTCCCTTCCTGCTTCGAGTGTTTTCAGATCTCCTAGTGCCTCTAGGAGAAAAGCCATTTTTATTCTCCAAATCAAGGGTAAGAGAAGTTTTTAATTACTCTGGTATTAATTACCAGAGGGCATTTGACAGCCTTTGTCGTTTGGGGTTTGCAGAGTTCCGTGTCACCTCGGGCCTGCCCTCCAGACGTGTCCTGGAGCGGTAGTTCCCAAATAGAACAACCTGAGGGACCTGGGTGAATTCAGACCCCTGAGCTCCATCCCGAGGGACTCTGATCCACTAGATCCGAGGTAGAGCCTGGGAACGCGCATTTGTGTCATTGCATTACCATACACTCTGGGTATCTAAGTGCTTAACTCTGCCTTGTGAGAGCAGGAGGGGGTGGGGGAGGACATGTGGCCAAGAAAGGCTCAGTCTGAAATCTTTGACATTGGAGCTAGGTCTCAGGGGCAAAGAGGTCACCAGTGGAGTGAGTGAGAGGGAGCAAATGGGAGAGCAACAGAGAAAAGGAGGGAGAGAGCCCAGCTTCCAGCCGGACCGAAAGGCGTGTGCCGGCGAAGGGAGGGGTCGACCGTGTTGTGAGTTTGATGAACGCAGACACTTTGAATCAGTGAACGGGGAGAATAACTCCAGCCGAGACGGCAGCCAGGAGCCCGAGATTAGTGAGGCTTTAAACCGAGGCCGGGCAAGGAGTTGCAGGAGTAGATCTGAGACGGACTGACGGGTTAGAAGCTTTGGGATTCTGTAAGTGATTTCTCACGGAAGCTGGAGCGTCTGTGCCTTTGGAAGGACGATGGACTAAAAGCATCATTTTGAGAAGTGGTGCCTACAGGCCTATGATAACCTGCCAAATATTTACTAGACAGGCGCCTTTTCCCTTCCTAGGATTTCCCTTGCTCACATCGCCTCCTGTTCCATTTCTAGGGTTCAGGATTCCGTGTCTCACACAGCGACTCCCCCTTTGCCCTGGATGGACAGAGCTCTGGGGATGTCAGAGACCTCGGTCGTCTAGGTTGCTGACTGGGTTTCAGAATCAATTTGCCCATCTGTCCGTATCAGCTGTGGTTTGATCAGTACAGTAGGAGTGTCTATTAGAGACCCCATATCCCGGCTCGTTCTCGAACCTAGGCTAAAATCATTCAGACACTCAACAGAGACGTGTCGAGCCCCTTCTATGTACCACCATGGCTGCTGCTTTCCCCACGCTTCCATTCCACGCGGGCAGGGGCAGGACAGGGAGCAGACAGCCACACCATAAATATGGCCCCACATCATGTTCAACACTTCCATCATTTAGCTACTTGAACCAAAAGGCTCCCAATCAGTGGTTTTCCAGCTTTTTTTCTCCCAGACATGGACTTTTACTTTGAAATGTATTCTGACTTGGAAACCCACCCATGCCGGACAATTCATAGGAGCTCCGTGCAGGCTGGGGTTCAGGCCCTACCCCTCATGCGTCCCCCGAGAAACTTCTGTGGGACATTTGCGAATCATCCAGGCAGTCTGATGGCTACTGTCTGGTTGACTGTTGATATTGACGCGCTCACATTCGCCTTCCTTGTTTGTGGCTTCTCGCGTTGTTCTCTTACCTTTGTGTCCTTTCCCCCTGTGGAATCCCTCCTTTACACACTCACGCTCTGACTACGTGCCTCCCCACAGCCACCTTGGCCGGAGGTTAGACCCTGCAGCCATCTGTGACTTCCTTTAAGTGGCCACTCTCCACCTATATAGCCAAAGGCATCTGAAAGTGTCACAGGTACTCAGCCACCTCGGGTAACGTGGCTTCTGCACCTCAGCAGGCATCCGGGGCCGTCGCTCCAGTGTGTGCAGGAGGGAGCCCCCCGGAAGTATGCGGTGCTTGCTTTCCTATCAGCCTTCACTACCCTTCCCGCTCCTATGGGAGAAATCTCTTTATGGGACATATATGTGGCCACACAGCTTCCATAGCTTTCCTACCAGGACTAAAGAGGGAATCCAATGATTGTTTTTTAAAATTTTAATGTCATTTCTGATTTTTTTTTAATATTTAGGGAGAAGTTACAAAAGGTGTGGAGTGTTCCCTCACTGCCCCCCCCCACCCCGGCTATCTCTAATGCTACCATCTTGCATAACCATAATGTAGTCATCAATGCCAGGGGCCCCTCATTGTCACAATAATACTAACTATCATCTTTGTGTCTTTAAGCAAGGGCATCATAGAGCCTCCAGAGGGGACCAAAATCTACAAGGATTCCTGGGACTTTGAACCATATTTGAACATCTTGAATGCTGCTGTAGAAGATGAGATATTTCTTCACTCATCCTGGATAAAAGAATACTTCACTTGGGCAGGATTTAAGGATTATAACCTGGTGGTCAGGGTACGCGATATGTCTCAGCTCTCTTGTATTATGGAACTAGAGGAAGTCCCCTTGAGCATCCCAGTTTGTTTCTCAATAAGCTTGCCTTATTTTCCCTCATACCATGTGTGTTGTTGTGGGTTTGGAGGTGTTCTGTTTTGTTTTGTTCTGTTTTGTTTAGCATGACAGAAACAGCTGTTTACACTGGGGACTGGAAGGTGCTATTCACCTGACTTGTAGCAAGTGATATAGAAGCAGGTCCCTCTTACCTGCAACTGTGGTAAGATAAGTTGGTAACCTTGTGGTAAGATAACCACAAGGTGAGGCGCAAGATCTAGGCTGGAGATCTGAAGCTTATATTCGCTGCAACACGCACATACAGAGCTCATGAGCCACGTGGTTTGGGTTATAACCTGGTCGCCGAAGCTGAAGGTGTATCCAAAAGCAAAGTAAATACTAACAGGTAGGGGGTGCAAGGGAAAGAGGGTGCCACAGTGGGCCAGGAATATTGCAGAGTCTGGGGTAACCAGCCACTCACACGCGTAGTTTATCCGGCTTATCTTTAGTGCACGTGGCGCAAAGCTTAGGGAAGGCACATTGGGCAATAGACAGCGTTCACTGTTAGAGACAAGGACTGGGGATCCTCAGAGTGAGGACTGTTCCCAGGTTTACCTTTCAACCCCTGAACGGTAATACCAGGCAATTCTTGCCATTCTTAGAGGCATGGATTCCTAAAATCCTGGCCCGGGGGTCAATGCCAGTCTATGACAGTGATTTTGCTGGTCAGTGGTAAGTAAGTTTGAGTATGCTTAGGAGTATGGTTACAAAGTTGTCAGCTTTCTTTTCTCTGGATGAGTTGTCATTATTCCAAGATTAGGTCCTCTCTGTTTTTGAGGTGTCAAAGCATTCTTCCCTTAATGAAATACAAGTAGATATAAGAATTTTTTTAAGTCCTCCCTGGGAAATAAAACATGGTTGACCCTTGAGCAACGTGTATAAGCAGATTTTTAAACAATTGAGTACTGTATATACGTAAATTCTCTTATGAATTTCTTTTTTTCAATGTAGTTTGTATTTATTTTGAGAAGGAGAGCAGGGGAGAGGCAGAGAGGGGAGGGGAGAGAGAATCCCAAGCAGGCTCCACACTGTCAGCACAGAGCCTGGTGTGGGGCTCAAACTCATGAACCACAAGATCACGACCTGAGCCAAAATCAAGAGTTGGATGCTTAGCTGACTGAACCACCCAGGTTCCCCTCTTAGGATTCTCTTAATAACGCTTTTCTCCAGGTTACTTTATTGTAAGAATACAGTATATAATACATATTACAGACAAAATATCTGTTAATGTTTTATGTTATTGGTAAGGCTTCTGGTCAACATGCTATATAGTTAGGTTGTGGGGAAGTCGAGTTATACATGGATTTTCAGGGGCACAGGAGTGGGAACGGGAAGGGGTCTGTGCCCACAACCCTTTGTGTCACTCAAAGGCACTGCATTGGTGCTTATATTAGCTCCAGGATATTTTTTTTGGAAACTATCTTTGAAATCCAGAGACCTGGAGAACGCTAAATGACTGTTTTCAGTTGGACAATCACCATGAAAAAGAGAAAATATTTGGAATTTTCCATGAAGCTATGGATATTTAGCTGCTATATGATGATGAGAAACATTGCACATTTCATTTCTTCCTTTGCAAACTTACCATGGTGTTTACTGCTTCATTACTAACATTATTCAAGCTAATGATAATCTTCTCTGTAAATTTGATTGAAGTTAGTGATGTGAAGCAGCTTGCTTGTGTGGAAGGCTAGGATCTGAATGTTATCCGTTCAAGACAGGGAGAGATTGAGGGAATATACGAACTCCAATTCATTGCTAGCATTTAAGGATATTTGGGTCTTACACCATCTAGGATTTTTAGAAGACCTTGACCACCAGATTGATATACTTCTTCCCTTTGCACAGATGATTGAAACAGATGAGGACTTCAGCCCTTTTCCTGGAGGATATGACTATTTGGTTGACTTTCTAGATTTATCCTTTCCAAAAGAAAGACCAAGCCGGGAACACCCGTATGAGGAAGTAAGCAGCAAAGTGCTCCTCCCTGTCTACCTTTCTTCCTTCCTTTTTAAATCCACTTTTTATTTTAGATTTATGGAAAAGATTGTGAGGATAGTACAGAAGATCGTTAACACCATCCTTTACTGTGGTAGTTGTCACAACTGAGGAGGCAATACTGAAACATAATTATTAACTAAAGTCCACACTTGCTGCTTTTTGAGTCCATTGCAAAGACTGGCTTCTCTACATGCTTCCTGCCAAAGCCTGACCCGCTTAAGCTACATCACACCTGCAAGCCTTGACCTCCGCCTCCTTCCCCACAGTGAACCCAGTGGGCATCCCTATAAAGGGAATTAAGTCAACATAAATCAACACATAGTTGGTTGAGCCCCAGTTTTGAGCAAATCCCTGACACCATAAAGGAAAGGAGGAGCTATTGCTTTGGAGACAGCCTCAAGCTCAGGCTGGTGCCCGATCCCTGCTGATTATAGACTTAGAGTAAGTGATTTAGCGTGTCCAATCCTTGGTTTTTGTCTTTCCATGCGGCATATTCCCACTCTTCCACTTTGTGATAGTCACATAACTAATAATTTACGTGAGTATGCACTGTAATTTTGAATTCTATATGAATGTAACATAACGGCAATTCAGTAAATTAGGAAGATATACAGTCTGCCCTTGAACTTACTACATGTGCCATATAAACGCATGCTACTATAATTGTAGTGGTTTAAATGTACCTTTGAATAACAGATTTGTTCTTAAACAACGTTTTAATAATCTCATTTGTATTTGAAGGTTTAGTAAAGTACTTGCTATTAAAGAGAATCCTAGGTCAAAGCTTCAGGAAAACCAATAACTTACTGCTCGCTTTCTGGGTTTTAAAAAACTGGGTTTTCATGTAGAGGAAAACTCTATATTTAGCACCCGTTTTAAGCAAAATGGGTCTATTACATTTATTGCTTTATTTAACAAACGCATACCTCTAAGCACTTTATAAACACGAGGTCATTGATTCGGCAACAGCCTTATGGACAGATATCACTCCATTCCCTGCTTCTGGATGAGTGCAACACACTCGGGTTCAGGAACTTGCCCGCAGGCTGTCTAGCTACCAAACGGTGGGGCAGAGGGCTGACCTCTGCCGTCTGGCTCTAGAGTCTACGTATCAGGCTCTGTGTTGCTTCCGCATTTACAAAATCTATACGTTGAGGTATCTGTTCGCTTTCAAGGAGATTCATCCTTGGAGTTTTTTGACTAGCAAGTTCCTGTAAACTATTTAAGGGAAAGTTGCTTTTCCACAGCGTCTCATGATGCCCCTGCTGGGCAGCGCGGCAGCTTGCTGCAGAGTGAGAGGTCCCGGGAAGCGGCCAGGCCTCCGCCTGGGGCTCTGGAACATGGCTCTCGGTGCTTTGAGCTGTCAGGATGTCAGGGCGATTTCACTTGCTGAAGTTTGCTTACTCCACCCTTGGAAGTGCTCCTGGAGCCTTCTGGTGCTGCCATTTTTTTTTAAACCATTGATTGCTTTTCAAGCTCCTGAGCATACCTCCTGTCTCACCAGCTCTCCGTGTCTCCTAGATGCATGGCTGCCGCAGTCCGCCTCCTCCTGCTCCGGTCTGGATGAGCCCCTCTGGGTCCCTGCAGATCTGTCACCCTGCGACTTCCCCTCCCTGCTTCCAGCCCCTGGCCAGGTCTCAGCCTTCTTCGCTTTTAGACTTTCTGCTTACGTCACTGCCAAACAAAGGCTGCGCGGGAGCTGAACGTTCACTACTTTCCTTCCTCCCGGTTGCAGGGAGTCTAGCTGAGCACATGACTGGCTGGCAAATCGCCCTCTGCGGACACCCGAGGGCCTTGCTCTTTGGCTTCTCCCGGTATGCCCCACTGCTTACGGCGGGCTGGTCTCTCTTCACGTGCAAGTGGCCTTCAGGAAGTAAAGGTTCATCCATACTCTCCAATAACAAGACGTTTTCCAAGAGGGTGGAGGGCTCTCAGGTCTGCACAGGACTGCATGGGACTTGTCATTGGCCGCCTGGACCTAAAGGCAGGGATCTCATGCTTCTGTGCTCACCGCTGGCGCAAGGCAGGTAGGAAACAGGAGAGCCTGGTGCAGACTATCACGTGGAGAGTGAGTGGTGGGCCGGAAAGGGGGGCACCTGCTGCGCCCCAGCCGATCGGAATATTCCAGAGAACTCGGAAGCCTGGATTTCCATGTGAAATACCCAGATTTACAAACGAGCACAAAGCGAACTCGGGTTTTGAAACGGGATCCCAGACCCTGTGACCCACAAGCTGGGCTGTCTTTGGTTGAGGGGTGGGGGTCACCAGCTTTAGTTATGGAGGTGAGCAGCCACGTAGCAGCTGGGAGTCTCCTAAGTGCCAAAGTGTGGAGCTCCTGGCTTTGGGACGTCACCAGGAAACCCCCCCCGATTGCACTCCCCCCAGAACTGAATGTATTCAGTGAGAGCAATGCATAGGGCCAGAGGAAAGGCTTGGTGCTTGGATGTGGGTCATGCTGTGTGGCCTCAGGGTCATCCTTGAAACCCACTTCTGCCCCCTGCGCGTCTGGACGCCCGTTCCCATGTGCTCTGGGACTCCACAGACTCTGTCTTCGGTTGCCCCTCTTCAGCCTACATTCCCGAATGAAGTTAGTTGAAATCTCTTGCTGATCAACGACTGCCTTTGTTTCCTGTTCGGTGACACCTGATACCTGTATCTGTGCGTCGTGAACATGTAGGTTGGGCGTGGAAGCGCACACCACACAGGTGGTTTATGGCGTGTGATCTGTCCGTCTCTTTGATCTGAAGTCCTTTGTCCGCTCCTGTGATGCTGCCCCTGGGTTTTTTTGCTTCCTGAATGTTCTCCTGCATTCTTCTGGGGCCTCTTTCTCAAGGCATCAGTTAAAGCTCCTGTTTTCCTCCAGGGTCTGTTTTCAAGTCACTCTTCCTCCCCAGCCTTTCCTGGGTGATCTCATCTGCTGGTACCACGTCTCCGCTAATGACTCCAGAATCTGTATGTCCTGTTCCGCAAGACACTCATGCTTGAGATTGTTTCCAGTCAGCGGCCCGCTGGACCTCGTCACCCAGATTTCCAAACCCTTGTTGCCTCCTTTTCCACCTGTTCCAATTTCAACGCATCATCTTCCTTCTCTAGAACCGCTCTTTCTTCTTTTCTGGATTATTGGCAGTATTACACACACACACACACACATACACACACACACACACACACACACACACACACCCTGACGACGACCCACACTTGACACAGGGGAGTAACTCTCTATTCTTCCCTTCCCTCTTGCGCAAAGCTAATCAGTCACCAGGACCTTCCCATTTCTACCCTAAGTACTTCTCAGTTCTGTTCCCCAGGCTTCCGTGTGCCCTTCTCCAGATCGAAAGCTTAGAAAGGCCATCTCCTGGTGCCCGGGTGAGGAACTAGATCTCAGTCGTATGATGGGCCGGGTGAGGAACTAGATCTCAGTCGTATGACGGGCGGCCTCATCCCAGCCGAACTGCAGGCGTGTTTCTAAATCTGCTGGCAAAAGAGCAGAGCCGCTGACCTGTGTCTGCAATGTCCGGTCACGATGGATGCCTATCAGAGGCCGGCTCCGGCAGGTCCAGGGGTCCCTGAAGGATGGACGGTGTCGGCGAGAGAGAGAGAGAGAGAGAGAGACAGTGTGAGCAGGGGAGGGTCAGAGAGAGAGGGAGTCACAGACTGAAACAGGCTCCAGGCTCTGAGCTGGCAGTCAGCACAGAGCCCGACGCGGGGCTCGAACCCACGCACCGCGAGATCATGACCCAAGCGAAAGTCGGACGCTTAACCGACTAAGCCACCCAGGTGCCCCATTAGGTGTTTTTATTTAAAGGTTCAGCAACAATATGAGGTCGGTGCAGCTCCCAGAAGATGCCATCTTTTTAGAGGAGAGGCGCAGGCCAGAGAAATACATGCAAGGTGTCCATCTTCTCATCATTCTCCGTCACCTCACAGCCTCCCGTTTCTGGCCCTTGGCATCCAGTGGCCTGTGTGTGCTGTGTCCCCCGGAAAAAGCTGACACCCGATGCCGAAAAGGCTCCTGGTGACCTGTAGCGCTGGTATCGATGCAACATCAAATCCACTGCTGATCTTAGCACGCTCCTTTTTATAAGTGATATCACTGTTTTCTCCCAAAAGTCCTGTAATAGAGGAGACTGAGGCTGAGCTGGATGAAGTTCACATGATTAGTAAGCCCGGGGCTGGCCTCCAAACCATCTCTGCTCGTCTTCCATTCCTGAGCTCCTCTGACTGCTCCACTGAGCCGCTGTGTCAGGACCTGGGACTCTTGAGAGGGAAGGGCGACCACCTACGGGAGGGGCCTTGCTGCATGGCAGGCCCGAAGCCCACAGACCCCTGGAAACCTGCCGAATGTTCAGGCAGGGGACTAGAACAGGCCATTTAGAGAATGACCCGCAGCGCCCACATTTATGGAAAGCTTACCAAGCGCCAGGATGTCCTGTCTGTACATGACTCCGTTAATCCTCACAACCGCCCTCTGAGGAATGTTCCATCATCTGCAGTGTGCAGATGAGGAAACTGAGGCACAGAGCGGTTGCTAATTCCACAGGGCCGGAACGTGGGCTTCAAGCCGGCGATGAGACTGTGCTCTCAGCCTTGAGGCTTGCTGCCCCAGCTCCGGATCCCTTTCCTGTTTTCCTTCCCTCACTTTCTGCTGCGCTCAGGTCCCTTCCCTCCGTCCCCCCTTCCCCCCTGACCCCCCAGCCTGTGACATCTACTGTAGTCGACTTCTCTCCCTGACTGCCCAGCCCCTGCGGCCCCCGGCAGCTGCCTGTCCCTGGGACATGAGGGGGCGGTATTCCGTGCTGGCTGGGTCACCCCTGCTATTCGTTCCATGTCTGTTTCAGATTCGGAGCCGGGTTGACGTCATCAGACATGTGGTGAAGAACGGGCTTCTCTGGGATGACTTGTACATAGGATTCCAAACGCGGCTGCAGCGGCATCCTGACATATACCACCATCTGTAAGTAGGAAAGTGCCTGTCACAGGCTAGGCTGCCGCGCAGGACACCGCGGATGTGTAAGCGGAGCCAGGCGCTGCCTGTGCCCCCAGATTCTGATGGATGTGTGAGATTCCACCGTCAGAGCTGCGTTCCTTTGTTAACCTGTAAAAAGCAAATTGATTTACAAAAGTACTCTTTTAGGGGCGCCTGGGTGGCTCAGTGGGTTGAGCGTCTGACTTCAGCTCAGGTCATGATCTCAGAGTTTGTGGGTTCGAGCCCCACGTTGGGCTCTGTGCTGACAGCCAGCTCAGAGCCTGGAGCCTGTTTTTGGATACTCCAACTCCCTCTCTCTCTGATCCTCCCCTGCTCGCGCTGTCTCTCTCTGTCTCTCAAAAATAAATAAAAAAACATTAAAAAAATTTTTTTAAAGTACTTTTTAAAAAAGTCATCGTTTATTCAGGCATACAGATGTGTTTCAGTTCCTTTTGTAAGTGGTTTTCGGTATAGGAGATGAAAGGACGTTATGAGAGGGAAGGAGTGGGTTTGCCGAGACAAGCATGAGGGGTGGTGTTTGTGTGACAAAGGCATGGTCATTGAAGACAGACCTGTCCCAGGCCACATTTCTGCCTGTGCTCAGCCCTAGCATGAATGTGAAGGACGGTTGTTTGGGGGGGTGGGGGGGTGGCCCACTGAGTTTCTGCCCACCTCCGCTTCAAAACCACGTAAGCATTTCGTTACAAAACCACACATCTTTAAGATGATATTGGGAACATTGGAGCTGAAGCGTCAGAAAGGCACATTTGCCATGTTTACATTTGCAAAAGAACCACGACACTGACCCTCTGAGAAATGCAGTAATTTAATCCTAAATAAGCAAGACCTACCCTCTGCCTCAGCCTTGAGGCCGCAGCACAGGCGTGTCTTGAAATCTCTTTTTGACTGACTTCCCTTTGAATGTTTTTACATCATTTTTAAGAAATGTAAAGAATGTTGAAGCATGTGAGATAAAAAGTAAATAAGCACCCCACCCATCCCACAAAACCCTGTTTCCTGCCTCCCCTCCCCCCACTCACCAGAACTCTCTCGAGAACTCTTGACAAGCTCAGTAGGAATCATCCCATGCCTGTTTCTGAGTCTATCAAATTTCTCTAAATAGGCTTGTTCTCAGTAAACTGCCCCATACAGTTGGAGGGAGAAGTTTGTTGTTGCTTTTATTTTTTAAATATGATCTGAGTATGTGTGATTGGCAACTTGCATTTTTTTTTTTTTTTTTACTCATCAGTATAGCTTGTGTTCAGACACACAGATCAACCTCAATTTTTTATTTGAAGATTTTTGTTTTACATAATCTCTGTGCCCAATGTGGGGCTCAGATTCACAACCCTGAGATCAAGAGTCGCGTGGTCCACCGACCAAGACAGCCAGGAGCCCCGAACCTGAAACTTTTCCAGTGACTGTAAAACATGTTTGCCTTTCGTTCATTTAGAACAGAACATATACCTGACTTCTTGTTCTGGAAATACAGGCATGAAGCAACTTTGGGGGAGATTCGAGAGGTTATTTTCTTAAGAAAATAGTTTCCTCCTGTAAACATCTAGGATTTTGGTGCTGAAGACCGTTTTGTTCAGTTGTTTTGATAATGAAGGTCATAAATGTAAGAAGATCCCCTTTGAATCATGGGGAACAGTCACAGCCCAGTTTATCTCTGTCTCTCTTCAAATGGGATTTTTTATTTTATTGAATATTTTACTGGTTATAAAGATAATATATCTCCACTGTGGAAAATTTGAGAAAAGGTATTTAAAAATTCAAAAAAGACTTAAAACCACAAATATCCCCCCCCCCACCGAGAGAGCCATTTATATCTTGTGCAGTCTGACTAATATTTCCTTTTCATTTATAAGCACATACACGTGTACTTTCTGTAAAAATACAGTAATACTATATGTACTTTTAAAAAATGTTTGGGGCGCCTGGGTGGCTTAGTCGGTTGAGCGTCCAACTTTCGCTTAGGTCATGATCTCGCGGTTCGTGGGTTTGAGCCCCGCGTCGGGCTCTGTGCTGACTGCCAGCTCGGAGCCTGGAGCCTGTTTCAGAGTCTGTGTCTCCCTCTCTCTCTGACCCTCCCCTGCTCATGCTGTCTCTCTCTCTCTCTCCTAGAAATAAATAAAAATATTTTAAAAAATGTTTATATTTGAGAGAGAGAGCGTGAGGGGGAGAGGAAGGGAGAGAGGAGGAGAGAGAGAATTGCAAGCAGGCTCTGCTTTATCAGCACAGAGCCCCATATGGGACTCGAACTCACGGACCTGAGTGGAAACAAAGAATCAGATGCTTAACCAACTGAGCCACCCAGGGGCCAATATCAAGTGTTGTATGTACATGTTTACTGAACAGTCTTTGATCTACCGGTAAGTTATTTCTAACTTTTCACTGTTTGAAACAGTCATGTGGCAAATTAATGTGTAGCTGTGTCTTGTCAGGGTGGTTTCCTCAGGATACATTCCAACGAGTAGAGCTGCAGGGTCCGGCGAGCGCGCAGTGCGTAGGCTTTTGGTGCTCTTTGCCTACTTGTTCAGGGAAGCCAGCTTAACTCCTACACGTAGGAGAGGACCCCTTACCTGGACCCTCACTAGTACCAGGTTCTAAGGCTTTTGTGTACAGAATATAAATTTCACAGTCATGGAAGTTTCCAAAACATATTTCCCTGCTTTATCTCCTATACAGGTTTTGGAATCATTTTCAAATAAAACTCCCTCTAACGCCACCCAACTGGAGGTCCTTCCTGATGCACTGTAGGTAGAGGAGACCTCAGTTTCCCAGGTAAGTCATCCCATAAGTCTGGGAGACACCCTTGTCGTAAACCCTGTCATGCTCTCTCTGGCGTCCAAAATAGACAGGCACCATCCCTGTCAGAAAGCCTGACTTTCAGGGCAGTGAGAAGAGCTAGTGTTACAAGAACATTCAAGTTTAAAGATAAATAAAGAAAATGAGTAGTGAGTACATCCAGTCCAAGTCCATAGAGCCTTTGGTCTGGTTGACGTGGACATACAGCCAGTTAATAAACAAGACAGAAATTGTCCCAGGAGGATGGTATTCAGAGCTAACCCCTGGGCACATGCAGAGCAGCAGAAGAAACCAAATGGAGAAAACCAGAGTATGATGGAAAATACCATCTCTGCATTTCCAGTAGACGTCTCCCTTTTTCAGGCCAACGGAGATCAGTCTGTCTGGTTCAAATCAGATTTGACATTGCTTCCTATCACTTGGGATGGGATTTTATTAACTGAATTAAAAATTATGTTTCCTCGCACTTACTGTTAGAAAGATCACATAATGTTACTACAGACACGGTAAATTCTTTGCCTCATGCATTTATTCATACATTTATCCCAACAGCGGTCACATCACATTGTGATATAACCTGTTTTCTGCTCAGTAGAAATTTCCTTACAAGTAAACACTCTTGCCTTTGTATCCCTAGTGCGCCACAGTGCTCAGTGCACATATGACTTTAGTCATGGTATGCATTCAGAGAAGGAAGAAACAGCAAGTTTCTATTGCCCACTATCAGTTCGACTTGCCTCTTAAACTGGGCTTCGGTGTCTTTACCAGTAAAATTAAGGATGGAAATAGGACATTTTTTTCCCAGTTTTTAAGTTCTTTGTTCCCTACTCCAGTCAGCACAAGGTATTGGGCTAGATCTTCTAAATTAGGATTATAAGCCAGAAGGGAGGCTAAGGGAATTCACATATTGCTGAATTATAAGGTAGACTAAATAAGCACTATGTTTGTGTCACAAACTAAGTGTTGGGAATATTGAGGAGGGGGAGATTACATCTGACTTTTTGAAATGACCAGGAAGAACATTATGGAACAGGTATACTTGAGGATGGTGGAGAGGCGGGTGGTGTTCAGAGAGTGGCTTGAAGTTTGGATGAAGTTCTTAATGAAGCTGAAATGGAGGGGAGGGGTGGTAGAGGGTGAAGTTGAAAGGTAGAAAAATGCAAGGTGGACTGGAGCCTTGGAGAGTCCTCCAGGGATGACAGAAAAATAAGGGAAGTGGAGAAGAGGCCCCAGGGGAGCTGGGTCAGGGGGGCTCAGTGAAGATGCCGAGCACGTTTAGTAGTTAGAGAAGCCAGGAAGCACGGAAGGTGAGGAGATAACAGATGGAGAAGGCACAGAGTTCAAGGTCTTGGAGCTGAAGCGGTTCTGAAAGATGGACAGAAGTGCTTCTGTGTAGGCGGGTGAATGAAATGGCGAATGATGAAGGCCGTAGAGTCAGGAGGTCAGTGTGTGCATTTTCCAGTTGCTATGTCAGGGGGCCAATAAAGTATGGTGGTCAGCACCTCGGACTTGGAATCTGACTTCTCAAGTTAAAATCTGGGCTCTGTCACCTACCGGATGACCTTGGGCAAATTAGTGAACCTCCCTATGTCTCAGGTTTTCATCTGTAAAGTGGACATAATAATAGCACCCACTCACAGGGCTGTGTCACAGGTAAGTCACTGCTGAATGAGTGAGTGGCATGTGGTCAATGGACAACAAATGTTAACTTTATTGACCTGATGAAATAAACAGGAGAGTCCTGTGACCTACGGGCAGTCACATGGTGAATCTGTAAAAAGTTGGGAAAAGGGACTTCAGTCCAGTTGACAATCCAGTTTTAGATTCCCACTGACCTTGAAGCATCAAAGGCTATGTAACTTGAACTAAAGAACGAGACTAAAAATTTGTCCCAATGCAATAAAAAATGAAAAAGTATTAAAGTGAGATTTATACTTAATATTAATTCACAGAGATGCCAAACAACATAGAAAATGCAAGAATTTACTGATGCTACAACTTGAACACAAGAAGCTTATACCAAAGGGACTTACACCTTATTGAAAGCAACAGTGGATAATTACATGTTGTGTTTGTGAGATGTTCACATATCTTATGTTTATGGATCACTACATAGCCAGATAATTTAGATTTTACTTATTCTATACACAATTCTCAGTAAAAGAAGTGATGAGCCCTGCAAGAACAGATTGTCTATGGGAAATAAATCATAACAGGAGGAGATGTGAATCTGAGGACTGAAGAAATAGAACAGGAGAGACACAATTCCCTTGAGAACAACGAGGAAACTGGAAAGGTGTGGAGGAGCCAAAGTTGGGTTAGAAAAATGGAAGAAAGAAGGAAATGGATAAATGAACGACCATAAGAACAAAACAGGAAGGAGAAAAACTTAAAAGAAGACTCTGACAATAGATATTTTGTTGCTTAATAGATTGATTTCCCAAATAGGGTCCATTAGGAGAGTCGGGTAGAAGAGCTCAGGGGCTGTTTTGAGTTTTTCAGAAAGCTTTGTTGAAATCATATACATTTGCCAAAACAAGGCTGCTGAGGCTGCCCTAAAAGGGAAACTTTCATTGGGACTGAAATTATTTTGCTTCTGGGACAAAATTAGTCATTTCCTGCAGCTTATAAATTCTAACAAATGGAAAGATCTTTGGTTAATAATAATAATTTTTAAAAAGAACACTAACTAGTAATAAAATGAATTTTGTAGACAAAAATCTTTCAAAATCAATAGAAAAGTCCACAACAAGCATCCATACCTTGAAAAAATTGGGAAATCCTCTTCTGAACATATGAAAACATCATTTCAGTGGGTAACATAAGCAACTAATTTATCTCGTTTCTGCTACTGTCTGTAATTTTGGGTGATACTTGCATGAGTAAGGCACAGCCATGCACATTTATCCCTAGGAAATGTGATTGTTAACAAGGTTTCTATTTTACATGTTGACGTTGCTACTACAACACACACACACAAACACAAACACACAGCTCTCATTGATTGAACATCAATATTGATTTTCTGATTGTATATACTACCTCTTTAATTCTGAAGATAAAAGAATCCAATGGTGAAATTTACCTCCTTAAATGTCTAAATTCACACTTTAGAAAGGTTGATCTATTTCTCATGAAGATTAATATCAATGATGTTCCATTATTCTGGTTCGCCTCACACATTATGCATGTAATTCAGGAATTATATTTTGTGATTTACACTGTGTAATAAGTTATTCAATCATTATTGAAAAATAAATATAATATTTATCAATAAAATATATGTTTCAATGTATATGATGAGCAAATAAAGATTATTTTAAAATGTGAATTCATTTTCTCGCCACTAAGTGCATCTTTACTTTCATGCTGACTTTCCAGTGATACCCTTCTGATTTCCTCTCTCCAACAATTCTTTCATGTCACTGGGATCCCCAGTGCATCAACCCTGTGTGTTCTCACTTTGCTTCTTACTCATCTTAGATGGTTCTTTCTACCTGTGTCCACATCACCCCATTCTTTCTTGTTCTACCCCCACATCACCTGCCCTCTTTCCCTCCCTCACATCTCATTTCCATGACTCAGACCCAAAACTGTGAAATCATCCTTTGTGCCTTGCTCTGGCATCCATTGCATCAGCAAATCCTGTCACCTTCACCTTCAGAATATGACCAGAGCATACCCACTTCCCACTGCCGGCACTGCTATCATGGTCCAGAGACAAAGGAAACCCATGGAAGTAATCTTGGCATCGGCTGCTGATTTTCCTCATGCCATGGATAGGCATCTGCCAATTCCAAAAGCCAAAAACTTATACTCTGGTTTCTCTTCAGATCGAATAAATCTTTCACCTTTTACAAAAGCCAAAAACTTGAGCGCCTTGAAAATCACTCAAAACCACTCAAGGGGTGCTGGGAAAGCTGTTTGTGGGGAGGTGGCTTGCAGACTGCACCGCCTTACCCTAAAGCCACATTAGAGTGTATCAAGGAAGTTGCCAACACGTTGGATGTTGCTATTCATCTCACACTTCGGGAGCTCCACAGTAGAGAGACTAAGATGTAAGAGCCATAAAGGAAACCACTTCCTCCATTACTGCACCTCCAGTGCCCCCCACAAACAAAGCTTGACTTTGAACTAGCTAGCAAGGGATAAATATTTATTCTCACATTGCAGCAATGAGGAGGGAATTTGGGGTGAAGAGGCAATAAATTGATGATTGACACACACTTGATAAAAATTTGTATTGTAATCGCCAGGGTAACCACTGAAGGAATAGTAAAAGAATGTGCAACCACAAAAGCAATATGGGGAAAATAAAATTATTTAAAAATATTAACCTGTGAAGGAAGCCAATGAAAGAGAAAATCTAGAACAGATACGATGAATAGAAAGCAAACACCAAGATGGAAGAGTTTATCAATATTTGCATTAAATATAAATGGACTAAATGTTCTCACTAAAAGGTACATGAACAGACTGGGTTTCAGAAGATGCTTTTTGGTGTGGATGATGGGCAAAATGGATGAAGGGGAGTGGGAAGTACAAGCTTTCAGTTATGGAATGACTAATCACAGGGATGAAAGGTACAGCATAGGGAACAGAGTCTGTGGTATTGAAATAGCGTTGCACGGTGACAGATGGTAGCTATTCTTGTGAACGTAGCATAATGTGTTGATCTGTAAAATCACTTACGTTGTACACCTGAAACTAATATTTTGTGTCGACTATTCTTCAATTAAAAAAAAAAAAACTCTTTGGCTGCATATAAGACATATTTTTATTTTTTTATTTTATTTTATTTTTTATTTTTTTTACAAATAGTTTATTGTCAAATTAGTTTCTACATAACACTCAGTGCTCATCCCCAAAGTGCCCTCCTCCATGCCCATCCCCTCCTCCCCCCCACATCCATCAGTCCTCAGTTTTTGTCAGCATTCAAGAGTCTCTCATGGTTTGCCTCTCTCCCTTTCCCCCACCATTTCCGCCCTTCTTCTCCCCCTTGTTCCTCCGTCAAGTTCCTCCTAATCCTCCTATACGTGCAAACATATGATATTTGTCCTTCTCTGCCTGACTTATTTCGCTCAGCATAACACCCTCAAGGTCCATCCATGTTGCTACACATGGCCAGATTTCATTGTTTCTCATTGCCATGTAGTATTCCATGGTATAGATAAACCACATCTTCTTGATCCATTCATCTGTTGATGGACACTTAGGCTCTTTCCATGTTTTAGCTATTGTGGAGAGTGCTGCTATGAACATTGGGGTCCATGTGCTCCTATGCCTCAGCATTTCTGTATCCCTTGGGTAAATTCCTAGCAGTGCTATTGCTGGGTCATAAGGGAGTTCTATTGTTAGTCTCCTGAGGAACCTCCACACTGTTTTCCAGAGGGGCTGTGCCAGTTTACATTCCCACCAACAGTGTAGGAGGGTGCCCAACAGACACATGAAACGATGCTCAGCATCCCTCCTCATCAGGGAAATACAAATCAAAACCACACTGAGATACCACCTCACGCCAGTCAGAGTGGCTAAAATGAGCAAATCAGAGAACTCCAGATGCTGGCGAGGATGTAAGACATATTTTTAAAGGAGAAGCATACTGAAAGCATGAAAGAAAACAAATGGGAAATATATACTATGAAAACACTAATAAAAAATGGTATAGCTAGCTTAATGACAGATAAAATGGAATACTCTGTAATGATAAAAAGGGTTTTTTAAAAATTCCAGTGTAATTAACATACAATGTTATATTCGTTTAAGGTGTACAATATAGTCATTCAATAATTCCATACATCACTCGATGCTCATCACAATAAGTGTATTCTTAATCCCCATCACCGGTTTTACCTACCCCTGTCCCCCTCCCCTTTGGTAACCATCTGTTTGTTTGCTATAGTTAAAAAGCCTGTTTGTTGATCTGTCTCCTGTTTTCTTTGTTCATTTGTTTTGTTTTTTTATATTCCACATATGAGTGAAATCATGTCATATTTATCTTATTCTGACCGACTTATTTCACTTAGCATTATACTCTCTAGATCCATCCATGTTGGTGCAAAAGGCAAGATTCCTTCTTTTTTTTTTATAGCTGAATAATAGTCCATGTGTGTGTGTGTGTGTGTGCGTGTGCATGTGCGTGTGTGTGTGTGTGTGTGTGTGTGTGTATTCATTCATTAGTCAATGGACGCTTAGGCTGCTTTCATAATTTGGCTATTGTAGATAATGCTGCTATAAACATAGGGGTAAATATATCTTTTCAAGTTAATGTTTTTGTATTCTTTGAGTAAATACCCAATAGTGGAATTACTGGATCATAGGGTAGTTCTATTTTTTCTGAGACCCTCCATCTTGTTCGCCACAGTGGCTGCACAGATTACACTCCCACCAACAGAGCATGGGGTTTCCTTTTGTGCCACATCATCGCCAACCCTTGATTCTTTGTTTTTGACTTGAGCCATTGTGATGGCTGTGAGGTGACATCTCACTGTGGTTTTGATTTGCATTTCCCTGACGATGAGTAATGTTGTGCATCTTTTCATGTGTCTTTTGGCCATCTGGATGTCTTCTGCCCATTTTTTAATTGGATTGTTTGGGGGTTTTTGTGTGTGTTGAGTTGTGTAGATTCTTTATATATTTTGGATACTACCCCTTAATCAGATATGTCATTTGAAAATATCTTCTCCCATTCAGTAGGTTGTTGTTTTATTTTGTTGATTGTTTCCTTTGCTGTGCAGAAGCTTTTATTTTGATGAGGACCCAATAGTTTATTTTTGCTTTTTTCCTCCCTTGCCTCAGGAGACATATCTAGGAAAATGCTGCTACAGCCAAAATTACTGCCTGTGCTCTCTTCTAAGATTTTTATGGTTTCAGGTCTCACATTTAGATCTTTAATCCACTTTGAGTTTATTTTTGTGTATGTTATAAAAAGTGGTCCAGTTTCATTATTTTGCATGTCACTGTCCAGTTTTCCCAGCACCGTTTGTTGAAGAGACTGTCTTTTTTCCATTGGATATTCTTGCCTCCTTTATCAAAGATTAACTGGCCATATAATGATGGGTTTATTCTGGGCTCTCTATCTTGTTTCACTGATCTGTGTGTCTGTTTTTGTGCCAATACCATACTGTTTTGATTCGTAAAGCTTTGTACTGTATCTTGAAATCTGGGATTGTGACACTCCTCACATTGTTGTTCTTTACAAGATTGCTTTGGCTATTTGGTGTACTTTGTGGTTCTATACAAATTTTAGATTGTTCTAGTTCTGTGAAAAATGCTGTTGGTATTTTGATAGAGATTGCATTAAATCTGTGTGTTGCTTTAGGTGGTATGGACATTTTAACAATATTTGTTTTTCCAATCCATAAACGTGGAATAACTTTCTATTTGTGTTGTCTTCAATTTCTTTCATCAGTGGTTTATAGTTACCTTTCATCAATGTTTTGTAATTTTCACCTCCTTGGGTAAGTTTAATCCTAGGTATTTTATTATTTTTGGTGCAATTGTAAATGGGACTGTTTTATTAATTTCTCTTTCTGCTACTTCATTATTAGTATATAGAAACAAAACAGATTTCTGTATATTGATTTTTGTATCCTGCAACCTTACTGAATTTATTTATTACTTCTAGTAGTTTCTGGTGGAGCCTTTTGGGTTTTCTATATATAGTATCATGTTATCTGCAAATAGTGAAAATTTTATTTCTTCCTCACCAGTTTGGATGCCTTTTATTCTTTTTCTCTTGTCTGATGACTGTGGCTAGGATTTCCAATACTATGTTGTTGAGTAAAAGTGGTGGGAGTGGACATCCTCATCTTATTCCTGATCTCAGGAGAAAAGCTCTCAGTTTTCACTCTTGAGTATGATATTGGCATGGTCTTCATTATGTTGATGTATGGTCCCTCTAAACCTAGTTGGCTGAGTGTTTTTTTTTTTTTATCGTGAATGGATGTTGTACTTTGTCAAATGCTTTTCCTATATCATTTGAAATTATCATGTCTTTTATCAATGTGATACATTGATTTCTGAATGTTTAAACCACTCTTGCATCCCAGAAATAAATTCCACTTCATTGTGGTACATGATGTTTTAAATGTATTGTTGGATTTGGTTTGCTCGTATTTTTTGAAACTTTTCCATCTTTGTTCATCAGAGATATTGCCCTGCTGTGTTTCTCTCTCTCTCTCTCTCTCTCTCTCTCTCTCTCTCTCTCAGTGTCTTTATCTGGTTTTGGTATCAGGGTGGTGCTGGCCTCATAGAGTGGATTTTAAAGCTTTCCTTCCTCTTCTATCTTTTGGAATAGTT